TGTCTGAGCATGGTTGTAGCAATATGGTGCAGAGCATGATCTAAATCCAGCAGGACCAATTCTAGTTACAACATTGATTCTCTGTCAAGTGCTACAAAAGAATACATAGATACCAAAAGTAACCATATCATAAATCTAAAATTCTGATCAATCCCCATGAATCAACAAAGCAAAGAGCTCCATTGATACAGCATATCAGTAAATGGCATTCTAACAATGTTCCAATATATAGCAGTTTTGTACAGATAACCTAATCATGTAGCAGAACAAAGTTGGCACTTGACACTCCTACAGAGGCTGATATTACCGTTCAATAAGGGTTAAAGTCTGCGTCACAGCAAAAGTAGAATATAACATAGCACAAGGAGAGAAATTTTTATTACTAACCAGGTATTACAATGTCACCAAGGCCAAGCATGGAGAATGGCCGTGCAGCATCTGCAGTTGGAAACAGAAGCTGTACATAACCAAGCAAAGCCAGATCAGCTGAAGCATCAAGATGAGAAAATGGAACTAACTGACAATGGTATTAACAAAGACCAAGTTCAGTAGGAAAGAGCTCTGACCTTTATCGGAGCATCAAAAGATTTAGCCACACTGACCATAACTGGAGTGAAGAACACCCAAAAAATGTCATACACAAAGAGTCCACCCTGGAAATGGAAAAGGAAAAATGCATTTAGATATGAATGTAATAAAAGAACAGAGAATGATTCAGTGGCACTATGTTGAAACAAACAGAAGAAATCAATTCAGTCAAAAGTGATGAAATGGTTGTAAAAATTATTTTCAGAAATAGTGCAGTCAAAAATGCAAGGGCCCAGCCCAAATTACTCCAGAAATCAGAACTATTAATCTATTATACATCAGACAAAGGTTCGATATTTTAATATTCATGATTAATATGATCACACTTCAAAGCTTGCCAAGAAAAACTACTTTTTTCAAAGTTTAATAAGTATATGACAAAGTGCAAGCTAAAAACACCCCAAGGCATCGAATTAAATTAAATTTACCAACATGGTGGGACAAATATTGCAGTCAAACAAATGTTTTGGTCAATACAGGGGGGGACAACAGAAAGCATGATCTGAATTTTGATTCTTAAATACACTTAGTGAAGTGTTAGAAAATATATTGAACTGTTATGAAGATTGGAGCACAATACAATTTGACAAGAATAAGAAATTGTACACATTTGAATCCACAAACAGACAACAAGCAATACTTTTAGCTTCCTATGGTGCATAGGAGATAATTCCTTTCATAGACAAATAAAGTCAAGATATATTGAGACCAGATGATCCGTAATGAACCATAGATATATAAAATGTTTCAGTGGTGATTATGATAGTGCAGAGATAATAAAATAAGGACAGGTTTGTGACTGAAACAATGAGGATGTTCTCTTAGAAGTTATGACATAAAATAGAAATATATAATGTTCAGGCCAAATCAAGCAAACATTGGGAAAACCCTTACCAAGAGAATGGCTCCAGTTTTAAATGATCCCAATGACAGCATCTCAATCCCCTGCAAAATTGAAGTGTTAAGGTTCTGGCCAACTAAAAACTGGTGCGTAAAACAAATCAAACGATTTTAGGTTTTATTCCATAATCTTTAGTAATGTATATGAATGTTAACCGTACAAACAAACCTGAATACAGAAAGCCAATCCCAGAACATTGTTTGCAAGCCAATGCTTCTTTGACGCATACCACAAGCAAAAGAAAAATCCAGGTATTGAAGCAACAATCTGGGACTTTGTGAACTCCACTGAGAGTGCTAAAATAAGAAATTCATGGACTTAAATCATCTTGAGAATAAAGATTGCAAGGGAGGCTACTGGCATAGTTAAATCCAGTACTCCATGTCCTTGTTCTGAATTAAGAGTCTAAGCCTCATAAGAAGTCAATCAAATGCAAAGGTTGTATTAAAAGTTAACACGATGACAGCCATTGTAACTGAAATCTTATAATATGTCTGTTTCAGAGGGAGAAATGGAAGCTTCCATATCCACAAAAATGCTGTAAACAAAGAATATACATCCATGCCAGTATTTAGATTTCTAATGTCAAAAAATGGAAGCTTACATATCCACATGGAGAAATATCATTCTGTCCGTAGCAAGGTTAAAAGATTCAATGGTGAAAAAGCTCGAGTTCATTCAGTACAAAAGATAATATATCATTCAGTATGAAAAATGCGCAGCAGTACTTAAAATACAATCAAATAGTGCTCTAAAATAGCACTGAAAACATAGGTGTAGTAATATTTCAAGATCTGCATAACTGGATCAACAAGACTAAGCACAAAGGATCAACACGACTAAGCACAAAAGAAATGGAGTCGGGATCATACAGTGGAAAAATGGAGCCCGCCAGACGATGAGATTATCATTCCACTCTTTTGGAAGAAAATGTTTTATAGAAGGAAGGAGCGTTGCACTGCATAAGAAGGGCCTCATAAGTACAGCACATAAACAGCTTAACATGTCTGCAAAAGCTATTAGAAGAAAAAATGGACTTACGAGAGAGCAACAATGCCTAGAATGAAAAAGTAGGCAGTGAGCACAGCGTTGACCAAGTCTTTTGAGAGAAACTTGAATAGAAGGAACAGTGATAAAAGCATAGCACTTCCAACTAAGGGGAACCGCATAGCATGCTCCTTGGACATGGTCTCCTGCATAATAACAAATGCAAAAATAATTCAGTTGGTCACATGAGTTACAAGTCACAATAATAGCCAGCAGATACATCGACGTGTTACTTACAGAGGGTGGAGTTGGCTTGACAGAACGGTAGCAACCCACATAGACAGTAAGGCATGCTGTCAATACCACATTCACATTTGGGTTTACGTTAACAACAAGTGGCGCCAAGCTCAGACCTGCATATTGTAAAATACATATGCTGCTGAGGTCAGCACGGGCTTATTATATCAAAGGGAAAGGAAGAAGGAAAGGAGCTATGTAAAGGCAGTCATGGCTCAACTGCACAATTAACATACCGGCAAGAGCCAAATTGGCAGCACGTTCATGCGTCCTCATTGTTAGGAAACAATCTGGGAGACTAGCAATGTGCCCTTTGTTGGAATATCAAATTGAACCTGCGAAGATGACGATGCACAAGAGGTGTTTTTTAGATCGAAGGCATTCACCCAGCGTTATTTAAAGCTTAACGAAAGCCCAAGATCCGAGGCTGGTGATACCAGCTTACAATTGGAGCACAGAGTTTAACTCGACTCTCAACACGACTTAACCGAACTCTAAACTGCACAAGAGGTGTTATCCCCGGCGACATACAAATAATGAGTTAGCAGAGCAAGTTCTGATCTGAAGCAGCCAGTGTTGAAGTTTTTGATCGAATAATCAGTAAGGCTAACGGTGGAAGAAATATCTAACGGTAGAACAGATGTAATTTTATCCAATTTGTTTTCCATTTGCATTCCACAATCCAAAAGCTCAGAGTTTTGTTCAGCAGTAATGTAATGTCAAAGAATGCTTCAGCTATTCACACTGAAACCCACAAGTCCAGCAAGCAAAACTTGGGAGCTACGAGCCTCCGACAGCATAAAGGATACAAAGTTCCTAAGTAAAATCATGCAGTAATACAATAGCAAGTTGTCGTGGTTCTGATGTCTTTCATCTCACAACTCAATTACCAAATTTTCCACAAGATTAACCGAATCAATTTCTCCTGAAAATCAACTTAAGAGAAGTGACTCCCAAAGGTCTGGTTTGCAAAACCCAGAGGCATAGTTTCTTTTATTTATTTATTAACATATATGAATATAAGACCCGTCGACTGGGATTACCAAGTCCTACGGGGTCAACTGAGATTTTCAAGGCATCAGGGAGGCAACTGGGATCGACACAGCGAGCCGTAGAGGAGGATAATCGAACAGTGATCACAGCAATCGGCAGGCCGCAGCAAAACAAACACAGCACGAAACTAACTGTACAGACGCAGACAGTAATATGAATGAAACCCGCAGCCGCGGCAGAGAAATGATGGGGAGATCTCGCCGCACGAAACGTAGAGCGACTGGGGTTTACTCACCGAGGAACGAAGAGATCAGTCACCGGATCTCGAGCTGCTGTTGACCCCGTGCAGCTCCGGCAGAGGAAGGTTTTGGCGGGGGCGACGAAGGAAGGGAGGAGCACCGTCTCTGCGTTCCGTCGCCGGCGGTGAGGCCGGCTGCACGGGATGGGAGGAGGAAGAATTTGGGGATGAGCGGAAGGGAGGAGGGGAATGGCGGGAGTTATGGGGGTGTGTCTGTCTGCGTTTTTTTTCTTGCGGCTCAGTGTGGTGTGGCCCACCAACACGAGGTACTTGTGACGAACAGGTAAAGTTGATCAAAATTAAATTACCTCCTATAATTAAAAAAATGTATACTAAGCTCAGAATAAAGTTTTGTCAAACCATCACGCTAAAACATTACTTTCTCATTCTAAATTACATAAGACATTTTATATTGCTATATATACTTAAATATACGCTATGTCTAGATGTATGACAAAAATAGTGTACGTATAAAATCCAAAACTTTTTATAATTTAGAACAGATGGAGTAGTAAATAAATTTTAACTTTTAGATTGTTTGGTTTCAAAATACAGCTGTATGTGTGAATTTTTATTGAAAATACTGGTTAAATAACAAAATTTTGAATGATTCTGAAAAATACGTTCTATCTAGACATCTAGTAGAATAAAATAGTGGTTAAATGTATGCTTCAAAATCGTGCAAAATAAAATGTGACAACTTACGTGTATTTTTTTTATCTTCAGGGTAACAATTTTGAAAATAAGAGTTCTATGGACTATGGTGGATATGGATATATGAATCTGTATCTATCTATCTATCTATCTATCTATCTATCTATCTCTATGTCTATATCTATATCTCTTATAAAGTTAATTTTCATTGTAGTTTTATCTCAACACGCAAGCTATTCATGTCATGTCCCATAATAGTCATATCGTCACACTAACTTCCAAACTCCTATCAGTATCATCGGTAAGAATAATTACTACTTTCAACATATAAAGAAATATAGAAGACATCCATATATTGATATTTGTTTTGCCATTCCATTAATTTGATCTAATTATATCAGTTTTTTATTAGATGTTTTCAATTGCCTTGTCCAATTTTAATAAGAATGGGTATAAGAACATATATATTCAACTTATATATGCAGTAATTTAATTTTTAAAGAAGCCCCGCAACAACGTGCGCGGTATATGAAAGAAAAGAAAATCAACAGTTTAAAAGGAATGGTTTGTGATGACAAATTGGGGATGTCAACGAGCGCACAACACTTTGCGGATAAGGGGTATCTTGGGGTATAATTGGTGCATTTGATGACGTCGTCATAGATATACCGTACAGCAAAGAAGACGAGCACAGGGTATTAAGAAGTTCATTTATTGGAAAGAAGATATTGAGATCTTCAAGTGCACTTGAAAAAAAAAAGGATATGGCAGTTCAGCTTTATTTAGCAAATTACGTCCACAAATTTCTAACTTGTTATTTATGGCAATCCAACTGTATTAACAAATTGCGTCTTCAAACTAAAATGCATATAATCTTCGGTGATCTTCTATCAAAAATGCATATGATCTTTGGTGATGATCTTCTATCTAAATGCATATGATCTGTGATCTTCGATCTAAAATGCATATGATCTTCGGTGATCTTCTATCTAAAATGCATATAATCTTTTCATAAAAATAATGCATATAATCCTCGGTGATGATGCCATTGACCTACATGCAGTCATCATCAAACCGTACTCGGCAACAAAACCTTAGAATAGAACATTCAGATTTCCGATAGCCCCTGACAGGATAGTTCAACCGGCCGTTTTTAACTGTAGCTCATCAGTAAACAAAATTTGATGTCCAGTTGCTTTCTCTACAGATCAGTCTAAGCTTTTGACCAAGAATATCATATGGCACGAATTACATGTCCCGTTTACAAGAAATACGAGTGAAACACAAACAATCAGAATTGGCAGCTTCATGTCTCTCTAAATGGCGTCAGGGACTACTAGAGCTTTGTTCCTTGACATTTCCCAGCCTGTCGCTTGTTTTGCTTTGCCAAACAACGATCTGCCCGGCATGTCATAGTTCATCATCGATCTGGATGGTAGCACTGGAAGGAAAAAGAAACCGAAAGGCATATTTTAGAGCAACTAAATTAGGAGGAAAAGTGTGTGCGAACTGTGAATGTAAAACATGCCTGCATTGTTATTTTACAAGTGTGTTAAAAGAATCTAGCAGCTGCCATGGCATTGTGACAAAATGTTGTTTTGAAATTTGGCTGAAAGGAAAGGATCATTTTTTGGAATCACCACATTGACATGCATGCTCATTGCGATTATTTATATGCAGGCACAAATACCATTATCAGCTGTAAATACCTTGTGGATTGACAGTGTTTGCTAATATCTTCACAAAGGGCCTTGCTTACATTTTCTGATTCTGTGGAGCTTGTTTTTATCCACTCAGCAAGCTGCAGATGAACCAGAAAAAAGAATCAAAATCCATATAAGATCATGTTCCGACTAAATGCATGAAAACCATATGATTCAAAACATTGAATGCAGCTATTAAGCATGCTAAAGATTAGGTGTAACTCCGTATTTGCTAAAACAAAACTGTAGTCAATTCCACCCAACACAAGCCTACCTCATCCTCCGTTTCCTCCAGTAGCCTGTGTAGTAAGTGAAGCTGGTTAGCTCATCCACTCAAATAGTTGGTATGATTCTTACAGAAATCACAGAAAGCCAATATTATCTTTACACAACCAATAAAGTTATGCTTTAAAGCACATGGTGACTGAAGAGTTTGTTTAGCCTTGCCTTTAAGTCAAGTAATCAAGAGTGAAACTTAACAGGTAATAAAAAAAATAATAAGCAATTAGGAAAAGGCATGCATAACATGTTTGGGAGGGTGGGGGGATGTAATTGACCAAGACACATACAAATTTTGTATCCACACAAATGAGAACAAGATTATGCGTACATTCTATGTTCTGCCAGCTAAATATTAAAAAAAAAATTAATGAAAATTTCAAACAATATATGCTAACTATTCTATCCGTCAATTTTTTTTAAATAACTGGGAAAATATTGTACCTTCCACAGAAGGTGGACAAATTTTTCGAATGCGCTCGTGCTGCTGCCTTATTTTCTGCAAAAAGAACGACAATAAGCAATAAAGGTCAGATATTTAGAAACAGTCCTTATACACAGATAAATTTTTATTACAATGAAGCAAAACAAACCCAAAGGCAGTGCTTGTTCTTTGCTTGGCAAGCATTCAGCATTTTAATTTACCATAAGAAAATGCAAGTTCATTTCCTTGTCTTGGATCAATTACTAGGGCCATTTCTTTTTGTACTATCCTCCAAGATTATATATTTACATCACTGAATCAGAATTGCTTGTAATAAGACTATCACGTAAGCACATACAGTAACTATCAAAAACACAGTTCTAAACCTGGTGCCTGCATTTTCTGGGATGATGCATGTAAGAGAACGATTAAGCAGAAAGAATGCATTAGCATAATTGAGAAACTATGGATTGACATTGCACTTCGGGCTCTCAGTTTCAATATAGTAACAGGCCATCAGAAGAGTAAACAGGAGCCACAAAGTTGGTAAAAATTACCAGTTTGAAAGCTATTCCAGTCTGTTACTTTAACCCATCCCTTTTCACCTGATTCCAACTGCATACAAAAAATATGTTAGGTGGATAAATGCTTAGCATATTCAAAGTATACTAAAAAGTGAAAACCTAGTTCATATTTATGTCATGTTTATAACACTTGATACATACTCCCTCCATTCCAATTTATAGGTCGTTTTGGCTTTTCTAGATACATAACTTTTATTATGTATCTAGACATATCGTATATCTAGGAGCATAGCAAAAGCTATGTAACTAGAAAAGCCAAAACTACCTATAATATGGGGCAGAGGATGTAGAAAAGGGATGCAGCATCAATAATATAGTGTTAAGTGCAAATTCTAAAACAGTTATAAATCTTTATTTCCTACCTTCTTTAAGGTATAATCTTGCATCTTATCACATAGGCCATCCAGAAGTTCTACAACCCGAAGCTCACTGACCCTGCACCATGTATACAGAACCAAGTACATAACATTACAAAAGTAAGTGACAAAATATGTCCATAAATTGCTACAAGTATGTGAGGCCAAACGATGCTTGTCAAGATTGAATGGTCTCCATGTGGAATGTTAAATCAAGGATTGTTCCACTAAATATTTTTCAAGTATGCATCAATTTTGTCATTAAAAAATGTATGTGCTCATGCTGTCTTCTTTTACCTGTAATCAATGACCTTCCCCTCCCTCTGACCTTTAGAATTTAAGCGGTTGCGCAAGTCCAAGTGATTTCTCGGCTTCTCCTGTATTACAGGATTCAGGAACAAAAAATTGACCAAATGGTTCCAAAAAACTAATATGATAATACACTACTAAGATTATGGATTAATTGCTTTGTTAATTGTAAAAAAATATATATACATTTTCACACTTGAGAAAGATAAAGATACTACTCCCTCCATTCCAAATTATAAGACGTTTTAGCTTTTCTAAATACATTGCTTTTATTATGTATCTAGACATAGTGTATATCTAAATGCATAACAAAACCTACAAATATATAAAAGCCAAAACATCTTATAATTTGGAATAGAGATAATATTTAATAAAAAATAAAACCGTAATCAGCATTGTAAAGAATGATTGGAAACTCGGATCACTAAATTAAAGGCAACTGAAGGAGAAGCTATTGATTCACTTACACTCGAAATTCCAATCTCTAGCTCTGCCTGGAAAGAAGATAAAGAGACACATCAGAATGTATAGTGTACATCCCAAATTGCTGGAACAAAATGCAGCATATGAAACACAAATCCCATTTGGTGACAGTAGAGAGGCACTAAGAGGTACTAGCATATGTCACTGGAACTCAAAATTGAGTCTTTCCAACAAAATGGTGTATTCCCACTACCTCAGTGCAACATCTCGTTAATCCATTCAGCAATTTCAATTTATCAACACAACAGTGCTAGTCAGGGCCCTGTATCTGCAAAAGTTCAAACTTTGACTCCACCAGCATCGAAATTATTCAGAGAACGCTACATGATCCAGGCCACGATCTATCTTGGACTACAGCTTCACGACGAGCGGAAAAGATCGAAGCTAATTTCTTCACTTCGCTGACGTAAAACGTTTCCAAGACACACTTAATAGGGTGCTCCGATAATGGGAGTAGAGAAAGGCGAAGAGAAGAGGAACTTACAGCAACGGCCTTGCAGGCGGCGCACTTGTCACCGATGGCGGATGCGGAGGTGACGGCCGCTGCGAGGATGGCGGCGAGGAGTAGGAGGGCGCCGGATCTGTGGATTGCAGCTCTTGGCTCCATCTCCGGCGATCTCGCGAGGTCTCGTCTCTGGTCTCCCTCCCGATTTCCAGTCTCCGCTTCCGCCTGGGCGTGGTGGTCTTTTTACAGATATGACCTCGAGATCTTGCACATGTTTAAATACGTCCGTACTGTTTCAGTTAATGTAGAAGTTTCTGGAATTGGGTCAATTCTCTCCTTACGACTACCACTCCAGTTTGGCATGCGTCCAAGAAAAATTTCACAGCCATAAGCTTGGCAAATGAAATGCAAGACTGAAATGTTTTGGTTGAGTCCCCTGCATTTTAGCACCTTTAAGCTGAAGAGCCCAAGGACACAAAGCACAAACAGAACAAATGTACAGTCACCGTTAAGAAAAAAAAAACATTCTTGGTGCTCACATGCTCACATGATAATAATGCTACGATATCAGCACAAGCAATGTTATTACGCTGTACATGGACTTCTCTCTCTGTAATTTCAGATTTTTCAATTACATACAAGAAGACATGGACGCTCGTTTGGCCTATTTTCCACTCCAAGGTCAGAAAAAGCATTCAACCAGCAGCTGCAGCATCTCAAGTTCGCCACGCAGCCGACGTCTCCTGATCAACGTTCTCTTCCCACCAAGTAGCATTCTGCATCACAGAAACTCAGTTACTAAACCTCATGACGTGCTATAGTGAAATGGAGTTTATCCAAGCAGGCGCTTTGAAGCTGCAACCAACTGTTTGACTAGGATGAGATGAACCTTGTATCCTCTTCTGAGAAATTCAAGTGAGCTTCCCTCTTCTTCTTGTAAACCAATAACTCTCAATAGTTCTTCTTTCGCCTGAAAGAAGAGAAATTGCATGGCAGGCCCAACAAGCTTGAACGAAGTTAGTAATTTTTTCCCCCAAACACACAAGAGAGCAGAAACGAAGTAGAGCAAATGCATTCGAGTAACTAATGGTATGACCTGTCCCAAAGTGAACCGAGCTTCGCTCTCTGCAACACATGCATAGGAGCCATCAGTCTGCTTCAGCATGACCTGCCAGGGGCCTGAACAAACAGTAAACCAGAAGGTCAGTAGCTGACGATGCTGATAAATAGGGATGACATTGCCCGCCAAAAGATTGACTTTGCATAATTAATTATTTAGTTTGATCTTCTATTGCATACCCAGCACACCAGATCTATCTTCCAAACTGTAATCTTTTCTAGTGAAGAAATCCAAATAAGCTCTCCAGTATTTACCTGGGTATTGGCGGAATACAGCTCCACTGTAATTCACTATGTATGGAGTGACTACGATTGTCTACACGGTTAAGAAGGAAAGTAGTCACAGATGGTACAGGAAGCCATAAACAAAAAGGATATGTGTAGATGGATAAAAGTAAGACAAATGAATACCTTGGAGTAGTCACGCTGTCTGATATAAAATACTGGGGTGAATTGAGAAAGGAATCGGTAGTGCAGATCTTTTGGGGAAACCCCAGAAGCCCCAAGTCAGAACTGCACGGTGAATTATGTAAGTCACTGCCTCGTAAAAGCAACAGGCTATGGTTTGGGATATATGAGATATACCGCAATGTATCTAGTTCAAGATTGAATAGAAGGGCTGGAACAGATGTGGCAAACTTTTCCTGAAATTAGCAAAAGCACGAAGAAAGAATCAACTGGATGTGCAAATAACACCTACATGCACATCACCAGCAAATGAAGCATTATATTCTAGACATACCACATACTTCTCTATAGAAGCAAGGTCACGTGTGCTGCTGTTGATGAAGATATATAATGATGGTGGTTCATCAGATTTCCATCTATCTGTATCCACACCAGGCAACTGGTTATGAAGAAATTATTCATGGGTATTTATATGAGAATTATCTCATAATAATAGCATCAAAACTGACTGATGTTTGTTATTCGATGGTGGAAAGGAACTTATGCTTGATTTATACACACTAATCGGTCATTTAATTTCCATTTTCAAATTGTGATAATTCATCAACACGAAAAGGCTTGCTATTTACTAAAAAATTGTAAAGTATTAACATGTATCGTTAGCTCACGGCCATGGCAAATTGGCATAAAGTGTTTGCCATACAGTTAGCTCCTCTAAGAAGATGGCTTCCATCATTCCACGCAAAAGAGTGTCATGAACTCTTTGATAAAATAATATAATGAACAATGTCATTTTAGACTTGGAGTCGCATGTCTATTGCCTTCATTACTGCATTTGGATCAATATATTTTACCTTCATTGTCATCTGAGAAGTCAAAATCCAGAGTATTTCTTATCGATTTGAAGAAGCTGTTGACAGGGTCGGTGGGTACATCATCCAGGGAACTGACAGTTACACCCTCAATCTAAAGATGTGTCAATTAAATTAAGTGCCACTGTAATAATGAAGAAAATTGTACGAGAGGTTGATTAAGAAAAAAAAATTGACACATCATTTACCGTGTCTATAGCTGTCTTGAACAACTGTGACGCCCTACGCTTTTCAGGTTGATCAGGAAACACCTGAAATCAACTAGAAGAAAGCAAATGAGCACAGTTCTGCATCAGGGAGGATAGTGTGTGAAGCTTGAACTTACTATACAGGACCTAGTCCCCTTGAGCTCTTTGAGCTTCCTAGCAACAACAAGAGCAAGTTGGATGTTGGCATCGATGAATTCATCTGAGGAGCCCTGCAGGAGTCCAGCAGGATGATCAGAAACAGAGCAGCTGAGATAGACAGAGAATAGAACAGTGGCCTATAACCCTCGCCCTAATACAGTAATAATTAAGTGATGGCCATTGGTTTTCTTTCGGCAACTGTTGAGTTTGGGGGTCTTGGGATCCCTGATTTAAAGTCTGGCGTTGTTGAATTCCTGGATCTTTAGGTATCATTTACAATCCAATTCTATTTGGACTAAGATTGGAGACCATAAGTATAGGACTAACGGACCAAATGTTCTGTGCTGTGCTGATAATATGACTTCCCCTTTTGGAAAGGGGTGATGTGGGCTATACAGGCTACTCAAACGGGCATTGGAATGGAAGGTTGGACGAAATGGGGAAAAAATCGCTTTTGACAACGGGGCTGTTTGGATTCTCCTCATCACACGAATGAAGACTCGATGGTGACACAAAGTAACCAAAATGTATTCGGGTAGTGGTGCTGTTGGGTTTTAAGGCCTTTTCTGTTTGTGGCTGGCGCGCCAATACGCTGAAACTTAACTGTCTTGAACGCTTTATGATCAATATAAAGCGGGGGAAACCTTTTCTTTTTCTCTAAACAAAAAAAGATAGAGTGATGCATGGACATAAAGCGATGAGTAGATAGATGAACCTTGTACGAAGAGATGCTGCTTGGCAGAGGCCTTGGTATATAACACATATCGTCACAATACAGAAGCAGGAGTCGTCCAGACCAGGAAGAAGGCATGAAGCAACAATGAAACGAACGGTGAGGAGACAATGCAGGAACGGTGGCAGCAACTGCAGCAGCGAAGGGAGCGAGGTTAGCTCACGGGAACTCGATCTCGAGCCGGGTCTTGCCGTCGCCGATGGCGCAGGCGAGGGAGCGCGCGGCGTCGGTGACGAGCACGTCGTAGGACCGCGGCCTGTACACGGACACCCCGGCCCTGAGCGCCTCCACGTCCCCGGCCCCCGTCCCAGCTTCCGCGCGCGGGGAGACGGCGAGCCGACGGCGGCGCCGGAGCGGTGAAGAAGAGGAAGCAGAGGTGGCGGCGGCGGCGGTGGCCGTGGACAGGCGGGGCGGAGAGGGGGAGGAGCAGGGAAAGGGGAGCCGGAAGTGGCGGGCGCAGAGAGCCGTGGGCGGCAGGGCGGCCATGGCCATGGCCGTGCGCGCGCTTCGACAGGCCGGGCGGCAGCGTCGTCTGTCGCCTGCGGCAGCGTCGTCTGTCGCCTGCGACGAGGAGAGGAGAGAGTGGAGGAGGGAAAGAGACGACGGGTCGACGGCACAGCCGCACGCTGACGCTGCCGCGAGGCGAAGGGGCGACGCCGACGGGACCAATCGAGTCTACTGCCAGGTGGGCCCAGGAGTAACCTCTCGCCTCAGTCGCAGGTGGGACCATGCTTAGAAAGTGAAGCGAGCAAAAAAAAATAAAAATATAAATAGGTGATGGAGGTGCGGGGAATCGAACCCCGTGCCTCTCGCATGCGAAGCGAGCGCTCTACCATATGAGCTACACCCCCGGAGGATGATCTCGGCTCGAAGCGAGCCTAATTATCCTTTTATTTCATGTGGCGCCAATTTGACAACTACAATTCCTCTAAATTTGATTGGTTGCGGACTTGGGCAAAACCATGGCTGACAAGCGAATAACCCACGTGGAAGGGGACCCAAAAAAATACGCACTCTAGGTTATCGTTATCGTGGTGCCACATCACATAAAATCACCATCTAAAAATACTTAGGGCATCTTTAAAAAAAACTTTCCTAAATTCAACCTCTAAATTGTTATTTAGAGAGCTATTTGAATAAGAATTTTTTTTTCTAAATCTTTTTATCATCCAGTAGTCTTTTTATATCTTGTACGCTCTAGAGCGTCGGTTTGCTTTTCTATCTTCGGCTGACGAGAAATCCATAATAGAAAACGGTAATATTTGAAGATCTAGTTAAATAAGTTGTTGGAGTGTATTTTTTCATCAAACTATTTATTCATATTAGTAAAGAAAGATATAAAGATATTATTTTGAGTTACTCTTGGAATGCAAAATAAATCTCTCACAACTAAAAAGAACAAAAGGAAAACAACGGAATGATGCGACAATTTCCTTTGCCTCACCTACGCTTCACCCGTGCGAAAAAAAACGCGTCGCCCACACTCCCCCGGCCGTGCGATCCCACATTCCCTCCCCTTCCTCTGATTTTCCTTTCAAAAAAATAGCTCTTCAATCACCAGAATTTTAGGACATGCAAAACAAAACAGCACCACATGCAATCTCGCTTCACTCGGCTCGTCACAACAATACGCGCCCGCCCGCTCGCGCTCCCCCCGGCCTCGGCTCCGCGCGCAATCAACGCAGTTGCCGAGCAAAAGGAAATCACCGATCAAAAAGATTCAACCGATTCTGTCTAACTAATGCAAAATAATTTCCACAACCCACCGGCGACGCACGGGAAAAAAGGAAAGAGATTACGGCAGGGAAGATGAAATGGGAAAGTATTGGAAAATAAGGGAAGGGAATACGTGAGGGAAGAGAAAAGGAAATTGAAAATTACGGGAAACCTGATTGCCCACCACGCGCGCGCGATAAACTCCGTTTCCACCCCACATCCTGCCAAGCCTCCGAGGATCGCCACTCACCAGGCCAAATACAGGAAGGCATTGCCGTAGGGAGGAGAGACGATCACCATCGGGACGATGAACATCCTCGACTCCTTCACGCCTTGCTACCTCACCACTGGCCCCTTCTCACCGCCCGCCGTGAACTACAACGACGGGTGCAAGGCAGCCATGTTGAACGTGGTCATGTCGCTGGCGGTGATTGTAAGTTTGTAACGCTGCTGCTCCTTACCCCGTTGTTCACTACACCCCGCTGGTGGTGCTGTCGGCGATCATCATCTCCGCGATGATGCGGCTGATCGACTACCATGTCGTGCTCCACCTATGGCAGGTCGACAAGGTGGACTTCTGCTTCTGCATCGGCGCCTACCTGGGTGTCGTCTTTGGCAGCGTCAAGATCGGGCTGGTCGTCGCCGTCTCCATCTCCGCCCTCCGCGTCTTGTTGTTCATCACGCGGCCCCGGACAATGGTGCTTAGCTCGGCAACATCCCAACTCCATGGTCTACAGGAGGATGGACTAGTATGCCGCCACGCAGACGGTGCCCGGCGTGCTCGTGCTGCGCATAGGCACGCCCATCTACTTCGCCAACGCCAGCTATGTGCGAGAGAGGTAAGCAATGTAGGTAGGTTGATCAACGGATTCAAACTCAATGGAGGGATGACGAGAACGATCTGGGTCCTACCTACCGGTGTTTGGTTTGATCAGGATCTCGTGGTGGAACGACGAGGAGGAGCGCACCAAGGGTAAGGGCGAGATTGGCGTGCAGTACGTTGTCCTCGACATGGGTGGTGAGTAATCAGTTGCATGGTTTTCTCTCAACTCTGAAACTTAACCAATCTGCATCAGAAACTTGATATGTATTTTCTTCATGCTGCAGCGGTCAGTAGCATCGACAAGAGCGGGACGAGCATGCTGGCCAAACTCAGGAAGTCCATGGACCGGAGGGGAATGCAGGTAAGAGCAGAACCAATCACACACTCCCATCCATCTAGTGCTGATTTAGTCCTTTATTTGTTGTCAACTCCAGCACAGTTCTGAAATGTCATATCATGCCGCTTGCATGAACCCTGGCTGATTCCGTAGTGCTCTTCCGTGTGTCTTTCATTAAGATCAAGCTGGCGAACCCATGCAGCGAGATCATGAAGAAGCTGGATAGAGATCATGAAGAAGCTGGATAGCTCCAAGGTGCTGGAGTAACCGACGACGAGTGGATCTTCCTGAGGCGGTGGCATCATGCGTGTAACACCTCTGGTGTTACGAGCTTGTTTAGCACCGAGATTTAGACCTAAGAGGATTTATCGAAACGATTTTCTCGGATTTTAAAATTTAACTTATGTTTTAAAGTGTCATTTTGGCGAATTATATTGAACAACGGGTTAATTAGTTCCTAGATGTTTTGTTTCTATGAGTTAGTATGGCGTATGGACTAGTGTATGAAATGCGTATTGGTTGGAGTTAATTAGATTTAGGCATATTAAAAATTATGGCAAAAGCGCTAAACGTTGTTAGTTCTAGTTAAGTTATTATTCTCTCTAAGTCGGAAACGATAGTAGACAATGGCATTTTAGCATTCGGTCTCCAACCAAAAATGGTTAAGCACTACATCTATATTTTCACATGGTCGGTTGCAGTTAGGTGTATACTAAGACGTGGTGTAGGTCGTAGTTACGTTAGAGTTACGATGCCCACGCAAATATTGACCGAACTTTGTTAGAACGTGTTGAGGGCATGTCGTTGGTGCTCTGTCCGTGAACCGGCGTTCTGCGTGACCCCACCTTACCACGGAGGAGCTGGTTGCCTTCGCTATCTCATCGCACTACGAATGTTTCCCTATGCCACTGTCCTTCACTCTTTCTCTCCTTCGTTAGCGTCTTGTCTAAATTTTAATGGGAGCACATGGCTCTGTTGTGCCCACGCCCCCGCTAAGCGCCACCGTCCAACTGCCAATTCCATCGCTTCACCCTGCATGCACTGCCAACCCACGCGTGCTCTACCCCCCAGCACGTCTGTTTGCCAGCGTCGTTGTCCTTCTCTTCCTCGCTTGCGTCGTGTCCAAGTTTTTTTAATGGGAGCGCCAGCCGAGCCATCTAGCGGTAGCAAGTCCTTGCTTCTTTGCCTACCCCTTGCGCTTGGTACCCGGGCATCCGCTCCCTTGCCCTGCATGCCCACACCACCGCAGTGACAGCACCGCCGTCGTCGGTCCTCCTTGCACCCCTAGTTCCTCCCGCTGCTCCTCGGCGCGCCCGTGCCGCAACGCCCGGCCGGACCGTGACCTGCCTGCTGCCTCGTGGCACGCCATGGCTGTAACACCCTAGGTGTTATCCTTGCATAAATTGACTTGCATAGCATGAGCATGAGCATCAAGCATTCATATATAAGCATTTACACTTGAAACATTTGATTGAAACATATGCAACATTGCTTGTTATTTTATGTTTCTTGGTATATATGCATATGATCATGAGTGAATACATGTAGATGGTTGATATGAGTCACAAAAACATGTTAGCAACACATAGGTTAGCAAATAGGACATTGTTCATGAAGGTCACCTTTCATGACCAAACACTTAAGTAAGATTTCATGTGTTAACCTAGATAGCACTATGTGTGACTAATACATGAAATGATTGTATGACCTTGCAATTTGCTTGAACATGTTTAGAGTATCATTATGAACAACTTTGATATTCATGGTTAGGGGTAAATAGGTCATTAAGCCATAGTTTGAAGTGTATCATCATTTAAATGTGACATGTTTGACCAAGTTTGAACTATGTGTTAGAGACCTTGCATGGAGGTGGTCACTAAAGCAAAGTTGTAGTATTTGATATAGGGAACAACTTTTATTTTTGGGTCATAGACTGGTTTAGCTCCTAACATGGTCGAAATTAGCTCACAAGAACCAAGATTTCACTGTTTTCTACACTTAGGCGATTTTGCTCGGTCGGTTTTACTGACAGTGCTGACAGCCCAACTTGGAGATGATATAACTCGATTTAGGTTGCGAATTAGAGCATGATTCTTTAACAACAATTGGAGCTGGTACATAGGTCTACAAGTTTCATTTAGATTGTTTGCACTATGGAGTTACGGTTTAGCAGTATGATTGCTTTGAAATCGCGTCGTCAGTCAGTTTCGAGGAACTGAACAAACTGAATCAATCGGTTTAGTGGCCGACCGGTATCAGGCAACAGCCGCCGCGTGGAGCCACTGGCGAAGCCGCGCGTCGCCGGCGCCCTGCCCAGCACGACAGAGCCAGGCCCCAGCGCACTACATCACTCCCATCTATTGCCCGCACTGCCCCGCGCTCGCCATTCCATTTCCTCGGCCTTCTTTCTTCACCCGCCGCAGCAGTCGCAGCACCGAGAGCCTCCGCCATCGCCATTGTAGCGCCAAGCTCGCCCGCGTTGCTCCTTCGCCACCGTAGAAGCTTCACCGCACTCCTACCGTCTCACCGCACCGCATGTGCTCACTAGCCGCGCCGGTAAGGCCTCAGCACCGCGCACGGCATCGCCGGAGCTCCGCCACCGAGCCCGTCGTCGTG